TCAGAGGGGGCTCAGCTTGGACAGCAGCAGGAATTTCCTCATGGAAAAGGTTGGAAGGGGCTGCCCAGGGAGGTTTGGAGGCACCCAAGGAATTCCCGGACGTGTCACCCCCGCTCAGGGCACCGATCGGGCACAACTCAGCCCATCCTTGCCAGGATCCACCCTTAACCGCTCCATAATCCCATTTTCCAGCATTTCCCCTTCCCACCATCCACCATGGAGCTGCCCAGCACCAAAGACTTCCACTGGAAACGCCTGGCTCCGCTGCCGAGCCGCCGGGTATACTCCACGCTGGTGGAGGCGGGCGGGCAGGTCTTCGCCGTGGGCGGCTGCGACGACAACGGCGTCCCCGTGGATTCCTTCGAGGTTTATTCCCCCGAGGCCGACCGGTGGGCGCCGCTGCCCGCCATGCCCACGGCCAGGGCCGGCGTGGCCGTCACCGTGCTGGGCAAGAGGATCATGGTGATCGGCGGCGTGGGCGCCGACCAGCTGCCGCTGAAGGTGGTGGAGATGTACAACACGGATGAAGGGCGCTGGAGGAAGCGCAGCTCGCTGCGGGAGGCGGCCATGGGCATCTCGGTGACGGCCAAAGGCAAGGAGAGACCTCCAGAGGGCTCTGGGATTTGGGGATCTGCTAGGAGAGCTTGGAGGTTTTTTTCTCAGCTTTGGGTAGAAAAATGTCTCCGGGCGACGATCCAGGGTTGATCTGCTGGTCTCCAAAACATCTCCTCTTCCAAACATCTTCCAAAACTTCTTCCAGAAGTTGGGCCTCGTGCGTTTGGCACCTCCCACCCTGCTGGGAGGCTCCACAGGAGGTTGGGAGCACAGCCAGAGCCGCCCCGGGGTTGTCACCAGCCCTGGAGCCGCGGGGGCGGCGGCTCTGCTGCTGCCGGCGGCGGTTTTGGACGGCTCCGAGCTCCAGGGGCTCGGATCCAAATTTCTCCCGGGTTTTACAGCAAATTCTGGCCCTTGAATGGATCTTTTTGCAAGGAGGGGATGGGTTTTTTACAGGGGAAGGAGATCTCTGGTGCTCTCCCGTAGCAGTTTTGTGGGATGATTTTGCAGAGTTGGGATGGATTTTCTGGTACTTTCTGTAATAATTTAGCAGGATAATTTTGCAGGGGAGGGAGATTTCTGGTATTTTCTACAATAATTTAGCGGGATAATTTTGCAGGAGGGGGATGGATTTTTTGTGATTTCCTATAATAATTTTGTGGGATATTTTCGCAGGAGGAGGATGAATTTCTGGTACTTTCCTACAGTAATTTAGCAGGATAATTTTGCAGAGTTGGGATGGATTTTCTGGTACTTTCTATAATAATTTAGTGGGATAATTTTGCAGAGTCAGGATGGATTTCCAGCACTTTCCTACAATAATTTAGTGGGATAATTTTACAGGATGGGGATGGATTTTTTGTGATTTCCTATAACAATTTCTGGGTTTCTGGTAGTTTCCAATGGTAATTTAACGGGATTTGGGGGGTTCTTTGCCCCGTGCAGATTACAGGGTGTACGCTGCGGGCGGGATGGGCTCGGACCTGCGGCCCCACAATTTCCTGCAGCACTATGACGTGCTCAAGGACATCTGGGTGTCCCTGGCTGCCATGCCCACGCCCCGCTACGCAGCCACGTCTGTCCTGAGGGGCACCAAGATCTACGTGCTGGGTGAGGACCAGCCCTGCCTCCTCCTCCTCCTCCTCCTCCTCCTCCTCGGCCTTTCCTTCTCTCCCCTCCTCTCTTCTTTCTCCTTTTTTCTTCTCCTTCTTTCCTCTTCAGTCTCTTCCTTTTTCTTCCTTTGCCGTCATTTTTTCTTAATTTTTCTTCATTTTTTCTTCCTTCTTCATTTTCATTCCTTTCTCTTCCTTCTCCTTCTTTTTTCTTCCTTCTCCTCTTCCTCTTCCTCTGTGCCTGGAATAATTTGGATCCCTGGCACTGGGACTGGCACTGGGATAACTGGGATCACTGGGATCCCTGGCACTGGAATAATTGGAATCCCTGGCACTGGGATAACTGGGATAACTGGGATCCCTGAGATAACTGGCACTGGGATAACTGGGATAACTGGGATCACTGGGATCCCTGGGATAACTGGGATAACTGGGATCCCTGGGATAACTGGGATCACTGGGATAATTGGGATAACTGGGATAACTGGGATCCCTGGCACCGGAGCAGCTGCTCCAGCTCTCCTGCCCTCAGGGGCTCAGCAGCCAGTCCAGCGCTCACTGGATCCGCGCTCATGGGAATTCCTCTCATCTTCCCGAGCCCGATCCCAGCTCTGCTCTGAGTTTGTCTGGATTAAACCAGTGCAATTTAAAACCTTCCCCGTGCCAGCACCGCCAGGAGCGGGGAGAGGTTGGAAAATTCAGCTTTTCCCTGAGAAAAGGAGTGCAGAGAGGTGAAAAATCCCATTTCACTCAGGGAGCTGGAGAGCCGAGGCTGCTCCGGTCCCTGAGCCGGGATTCCCTCTCCTTTCCCAGGGGGAAGGCAATCCAAGTACGCCATCAACGCCTTCGAGGTCTTCGACACGGACACCCGGTCGTGGACCAAATTCCCCAGCATTCCCAACAAAAGGGCCTTCTCCAGCTTCGTGGCCACCGAGGAAAAGCTCTTCAGCCTCGGGGGGCTGCGCCAGGGCCGGCTCTACCGGCAGCCCAAGTTCATGAGGACCGTGGACGTGTTCGACCTCGAGCAAGGTGGGAGCTGGTCCAGCCCAGGCCCTGCTGAGGGGCTGGGGGACACCGGGATCACTTTGGGGACACCGGGATCACTTTGGGGACACAGGAATCACTTTGAGGACACCGGGATCAGTCTGGGGACACAGGGCTGGGTTTGGGGACACAGGAATCACTTTGGGGACACCAGGATCAGTTTGGGGACACAGGAGTCACTTTGGGGACACAGGGATCGGTTTGGGGTTTGGAGCACACAGGGATCAGTTTGGGGTTTGGGGCTCTGCCATCCTTGCAGAGCACAGATCTCCCATCTGCTGCTGCCTTGAGCTCAGCTTAGAGGACGATTTCCAGTCAGGATTAACAACCGGAATGGGAAAACCTCGGACAAACCCAACCCATTCCATGGGGCTTTATCACCCCAAGGTGCAGCAGCCAAACTGCCCTTCCAGGAGCCAGGGCCTGGGAGAGGCAGATGCTTCTCCAGGAGTGGGTGATCCCACAAACCCCAGCGTGTCCCGTCCTTCCCAGGTGGGTGGATGAAGATGGAGCGCTCCTGCTACCTGAAGAAAAGGCGAGCAGACTTCGTGGCCGGCTACCTGCGAGGCAGAGTTGTCGTGGCTGGGGGCCTGGGTGAGCCTCTGGGACTGCGGGAACCCTTCAAAAACGTGTGGGAATTGTCATCCCGGGAAAGGGAGACATCCTGGGAAAGGGAGACATCCCGGTCCTGGCCGGTGGGAGGGAGCAGGGCACACAAACCCCATAAGGGGATGGGGTACAGAGCAGCCAGGAGACGCTCGATGGTGCTTCCCACATCATCCAGCGCCTCCTTTTGTGCTTCCAGGGAATCAGCCGACGGTGCTGGAGTCGGCAGAGGCTTTCCACCCGGAGAAGAACAAGTGGGAGAGCCTCCCCCCCATGCCCACACCTCGCTGCGCCTGCTCCAGCATCGCGCTGCGGGACTGCCTGCTGGCCGTGGGCGGCGTCAGCCAGGGGCTCAGCACGGCCGTGGAGGCCCTGTGCCTGTCCGATTCCTGATCCCACCTGGAACAGCTCCTGTGCCTGTCCGATTCCTGATCCCACCTGGAACAGCTCCTGTGCCTGTCTGATTCCTGATCCCACCTGGAGCAGATCCCTGTCTGATTCCTGATCCCACCTGGAACAGATCCCTGTCTGATTCCTGATCCCACCTGGAGCAGCTCCTGTGCCTGTCCCATTCCTGATCCCACCTGGAACAGCTCCCTGTCCCTCGCTGTCCCCAGCAGTGGCACTGGGACAGTGCTGGCAGCTCCCAGGACTGGGACAGCACCATCCCACTGCTGGCAGCTCCTCCGGAACCTCATCCAGGGATTCTGGTGCCTCCCTGCCTGGCGCCGCTCTTGTACCCCATGAGGAGCCCCTACACGGGCCAGGGGTCCCCTCCTGTCACTGCCACATCTCCATGGGGACATCTGGATCTGGCCTGGCTCTCCACATCTCCATGGGGACATCTGGAGCTGGCCTGGCTCTCCACATCTCCATGGGGACATCTGGAGCTGGCCTGGATCTCCACAGCTCCACGGGGACATCTGGAGCTGGCCTGGCTCCCACATTTCCATGGGGACATCTGGAGCTGGTCTGGCTCCCACATTTCTATGGGGACATCTGGAGCTGGTCTGGCTCTCCACATCTCCATGGGGACATCTGGAGCTGACCTGGATCTCCACAGCTCCCATGGGAAGGACTCCGGAGATCCCTGCGTGGCAATCATGTCCCTGCAGCCATCCCGGCCAAGGTGACAGCGTGGGAGGCGTTGGGACTCTCCTGAGGGGTCAGTGCTGCCCCAGGGGGGACAGTGGTGGTGTCCTCCTCCATCCTGGGATCTGCCAGTGCTTCCCTACAGATTTTCCCCCAAAGGAAACTCCAAACCTGCAGCCGGATCTGGGGATTGCTCTCTGCCTTCACAGCAAGGCTTTTCCTGCAATCCCGTGGCACTTCCTTGGGATTCCAGCAGGAGCTGGAGCCCGGGGCTGCTCCCAGAGGATGAATTCCCAAGGAATCGCTCTGGCTCCTCACGGGTGGCACAGGACTGGCACAGCCGCTGCCTTTGCCGGGTGTCAGGTGGCCTCAGCCTCGAGATTTCCAACGTTTTTTAGCTGCTTTGGTGATTTGGGATCTTCACTGGGAAAAAGGAGCAATCCAGGGACGGGTGGTGGCTTCGGTGGTGCACAAGTGACCGTGGCCGCTGCCTCCTCTCGGTTCTGTTCACCTCAGGCACTTTTTGGGAGCGCTGTCCGAACTGTGGGGATGCAATTCCAGCTTGGAGCAGTTTTCCCATTAAAAGTTGTCCATGGAAAAGCCCTCGGAGGGAGCTGGGCTGTGCTAGAGGTGTGATGGTGTGGGAGAGACGGGTCAGGGCAGGCTGGGATCATGGAATCATGGAATCATGGAATCATGGAATCATGGAATCATGGAATCATGGAATCATGGAATCACGGAATCATGGAATCATGGAATGGTTTGGGTTGGAAGGGACCAGAAAGATCCGAACCCCTGCCAGGGTTTGGGCAGGGACACCTTCCCCTATCCCAGGCTGCTCCAAGCGCTGTCCAGCCCCGCCTTGGACACTTCCAGGGATGTGACCCCATGGCTGCTTCACTCCCACGGCATCACATCCCTCCTTTAAAGCGCTCCCCGGGCTGCGGGGAGGGGGGTCCTGCTGTCCCCATGGTGTCCCCACAGTGTCCCCGCGCTGTCTGGAGCCGCTGCCGTCACCACGGAGCTCCGAGGTCGCCGTTAAGAGCTCTGAGGAGCCCGTTCAGAGCTCTGAGGTCACTGTTTGGAGCTCCAAGGACACCGTTTGGAGCTCCAAGGTCGCTGTTCAGAGCTCCAAGGACACAGTTCGGAGCTCCGAGAACCCCGTTTGGAGCTCCTAGAATGCCATTCGGAGCTCCGAGGATGCCGTTCAGAGCTCCGAGGTCGCCGTTCGGAGCCCTGAGAGCACCGTTCAGAGCTCCTGGGATGCCGTTTGGAGCTCTGAGGTCGCTATTTGGAGCTCCAAGGACACCATTCGGAGGTCCGAGGTCGCCGTTCGGAGCTCCAAGAACCCTGTTTGGAGCTCCTAGGATGCCATTCGGAGCTCTGAGGACGCCGTTCAGAGCTCCGAGGTCGCCGTTTGGAGCTCCGAGGACGCCGTTTGGAGCCCTGAGAGCACCGTTCGGAGCTCCATGGATGCCGTTTGGAGCTCCAAGGTCGCTATTTGGAGCTCCAAGGACACCGTTCGGAGCCCAGAGAACACCATTTGGAGCTCCGAGGACCCGTTCAGAGCTCTGAGAACGCCATTTGAAGCTCTGAAGTCACCATTCGGAGCTCCGAGGTCGCCGTTTGGAGCTCTAAGAGCCCCGTTCGGAGCTCCGAGGACCCCGTGCGGCCGCCGCGGACACGGCGGGGACAGAGGGAGCCGCGGCCGGGATCCGGCTCCTTCTCTCTGTCATTCCAGGTGGGATCCCGATATCCCAACGCTTTCCCAGAGGAAAGGCAGGAGAGAAACAGGAAACGGGAAATGAATGGAATGAGGAGATTTCCCCTCCATCCCAATCCCGACCACAGCAAATCTCCCCTAGAGCCGCCTCTGCGCCGAGCCTGGCTGGGAACGAGGAATTTTCCTTTGTCCTTAAGGAACCTTTCCCAGCTTTTTTCCCCTCCTGATTCCCAGGCCCTGCTCAGCGCCGTGGCCGAGGCTCCGGGCTCGCTGCTTTGTTCGGCTGGAGCAGGGGGAGGAGTGATCCTTTGTTCAGCCGGAGCCTGAACCTTCCCTTTCTGCCTCCAGAAATCCTGGGGAGCCGGGCCGAGCTCTCATTCCTGGGAATGAACCCGCTGCAGGATTGATTGGAGAGGTGACAGCGACTGGGGGAGGACGGAATCAGAGCCAGGAGCGTCCCGAGCTTTCAGGGAGGGGCAAAGGAGCAGCTCTGAGCCCCCGTGGGGGGAAAAGCAGCTCCAGATCTCTGTCTCTGGATGAATCCCAAGCTCCCAACACCCAACAGGATCCCTGGGACATCCCTGGAGCTGCCGAGTGCCGGCCCCCTGGCTCGGGGGGGATTTTCCATCCGTGCAGAGGGTGAGGGCGGCATTCACCTCCCTCCCCTGACCCTTCCCAGGGCTGCGCCTCATCCCTGCCCTTCCCTGGGATGCTCCTGCTGGGAACTGGGCTCCTGCGGGACATAGCCTGGCTGTGCAGGTGACAGAGATGTGACCTGAGCCGAGTTTCGGCTGTGCCAGCAGGGCGCTTTTGGGGTGTTTCAGCGGTTTGGGGTGCTTGTTTCGGGCTGAGCGGCGCTGGGCGAGCCCCAGGTCTCTTCCCAGAGCTGTGAACAGCAGATGGCATCCCTGGGCTGAGCTGCGGCTGGAGCTCCGCAGCCCCTCCCGCTGTCCTGGGCTGCCCTGGCCGGGGGCAGCTCCAAAATCCCATTCCAGGTGGTGCAAGGTCCAACAAAGAATGCTGCGCGTCTCCTCAGGGATTTTCTTCCCATGGAAAGACATCCCCGTGGAGCCCAGACACTTCCCAGGGGCTGGAACAGAGCTGGATTTGGGTCCAAAGAGTCCCTGATGCTGCTGCCCAGCTCCAGTCCGGGAAAAATCTCCGGGGCTGGGTCCAGTGCTCTGCAGTCGATACCGTGGAATGAGAGACCCGCCGAGCTCCTTTCCCTGGATAAATGTTGGGTTTGTCACAAAGCTCCCCCCATCCCTGGGGGCTGCAGGAAGCCCTGGGCTGGTCCCTCTGTCCCAGGCAGCCCCCGGGACCCTCCGTGCCTGCTCTCCTTTATCCCAACCCAGCCGAGCCCTTGGAGTTTTCCAGGCACAAAAAGATCCCGGAGCGGCCCCGGCCGTGTCCTCGCATGAACTCCCCACGCTCGGAGTTTACTGAGAGGCTTTTCAGCCTCGGTGGCTGCTCCGACACAGAGGGCTGGGCTGGCCCTGCTGCCAAAAATCATCGGTTATCGGCCCCGAGCAGGCTTTGTCTGCACAAACAGGAAACTTCCTGAGGGAACAGCCTCCAAAGGATCTGGTGGCGGAGCAGAAATGATTCCTGCACCTTGCCGTGGGCCCAGGACAGGCGGCTGGGCTGGCCCTGGCTGTTGGGGACAATGTTTGAGGTTTTTTTATTATTTTTAAAAAAATTTTTTGAGGGGAATTTTGCTTGTTTTGCCTCTGAACACCTCAGGGTTTCTGCAGCCCCACGTGCCTGGGAGGGTGACAGGAACACCTGGATGGATGATGGATGGATGGATGGATGGATGGATGGATGGATGATGGATGATGGATGGATGATGGATGGATGATGGATGGATGGATGGATGGATGGATGGATGGATGATGGATGATGGATGATGGATGATGGATGGATGATGGATGGATGATGGATGGATG